CCAATTCTCTCGTGGATTCATGACAGGAAGATTATGCGTATCGTAATGTCGATGCTCCCACAGATATGTGGTCAAATAAGTGTGGAGAATCAGCAGTAATATCAGTCAGTATTACCACACATCCGGTACTTGGCCAACTAAATAGTAAAAAGTCTTCCGTTCCGCACATAACATTTCAATTTGGACGCGCGTTTCGACAGACGAGACGGTCGGTTGAACGACGCTTTTTGTCAACTTTGTGTCTAATTTGCGTTGCCCTAAAAACAAGACGTTTCTTTTCGCCTCGCTTTCTTCCTCACATCTTTATCCACAATTCTTATACAAATGACATAAAGGTTGAAAAGTGGATTTGCTAAGTACCAAACTAGAGCCAAGGAATTTGCTACTAACACAGCCGATTGCATTTATTTTGAGCTAAGGACGTATGAAATTGGCAATGTAAAATTGGTCATTAAGTTCTGAGTGCCTATTAAATCAGCATATACCATTTATGACCCCCAAGTGCGATATAAGATTTCAGTTTTCTATTTACAATCATCGGAGCGGTTCGACCAATGTACTACGATTAAGTTTTTACTTAGATCCCAACAGCTTCGCACTTGACTTGAATGCTTTCCGCTTGTTGCTCGCCGTGGTTATCTGATAGACTTTTTTCATAGCTTTGTTTTATTTTAAAACGGTTTCATTTCCCATTTTTGCGATTAGAAACTCGAATTCTTTCCGTTTTAAATCATGTAATAAATCTGTGAAGTTTTATTTCACAAATTCTCGTAGTTATGTATTTCAATAATAACTTGGACACTATAGGACGCATATTGGTTTTCTGACTTATTTAACTCTGAAGATTTTCCATTTTTCTGTTGTTTAGGTACATAGACACTTTTTCTTAAACCATTAATTAAATTGCCATTCTCACCTGACTTGTGCTACCTATTATTCGGTATAATGAGCCTTTTTATGTCTGCTCAAATTACATTTCGTTGTGTCTATTGTGGTCACAATGTCTATGTAAGTACCAGTGTAATGTTGAGCCTTAATGTTCTGCTTCCTATTTATTTACCTAACCCACTTTATTTAAGGAACTTTTTCTCTTCTAAGTAGTGTTTGGTTTCAAAAATCAATAGATTGCTGAGAGAGACAACACGTTATTTAAACGAGTAAGCTACGCGTTACTTAGACAACCTACTTAAACGATGCAGGTACTGGCTCTAATAAGTCTTCTGTATTCACACTTCCATATATTCAAACCTTTATTTGTCTTTAACAAATAGTGTCACTCGCTTTATAAATTAATTTCTATTGTAAATAGTTTGCATATATGGTGGTACCGTTTGTTGCCTTCGATATCGGAAGCGCTTTACCTACTGCATTAATATGAATTTAAATAAGCTGGATGTCTATATGAACTTGTTCTGTATTTGGTAATGTGGTATTATGTAGTCGAGGTTGTCGTCATCATTAGTCAACGATTGCATCAATGTTTGTGCCTGATGACCGGTCAAGTTCGTCATATTATTATAATTAGGGCCAGAAATAATATGTCCCCTGCGTCAAAATAACTGACCAGTGAATAAATAAACCTACCAGCTTTAATTCTATGAATAACACTTTTAATTAATGTTTGTTTATTAGTATCTTATGCGTTGCCTTTCAATTCAACCTATTGCGGTGAAGCTTTGTCAACTGATTGCTTGCACTTACGCGAAGGTTACTGACACCTACGTATTTGTTTCCACCGATAGGTACATCCTAAATTATACTAAGAACAGAAATCCTACCACTATGTAAAATAAAATATAAAAGAAACCGGTCTGCTGACCATAGCAAGTTGGAACACGCAACATTTGTCGTTCCTATTCGTTATACAAAACATCAATTTATTTGTTATGGGATTCTTAAAAGCAAAATGGATTTTGATATATCGTGGTGAATCGAATGGCCCGTACATAATCCAACAGCTTTTAGATTGCGTGGCTAGACTTCATCGTGTTTAATTGTTTATTTTTCTGAAGTAGAGTGTTTATTTATAATATTAGCCCAGTTTCTCAGTAGTGCCCTCTGTCTATGCCCCCTAATGACTTTCCAATGAGTACTTACCTACTTGTCACTTGTTTAATAGAAGTCCAGAGGTCAGTTTGAGGTCATAGCTTGTCTTTCATCTCATTGGTCTCTATTCATATTCAATGATTTTCTTTAACTTGGCGAATTCTATCATTGAAAGCGAAAGTTGTGAATATTTTAAATAGTTAGTACAAGAAAACAAGTTATCCTTCTATTCAACACAAATCAACTAAGTTATACTTCTAATGAAAAATTGCAATAGTGATATTTAAATGAGGCATTAAAGTTACGGGGTATTTGACGCATATGTGAGAATGTATGACATTTCGATCATTCAGCACTCACACAAGAATGCACCACCTAACCGCAGTCATCGATACAAGGGACAGTAAACCTGGGCAAACTAGTTTCGCGAAGTACTTAACGAACGTTTGTAAACTTACGCCATACCATTCACGATGCATTCTGCAGCTTAAATGGCTGATTGTCTCACTTCTGAACGAAGATCATCCCTATTCCTTCGAATCGATTTGCATTCAAAATGCAACCCTCTACCGTTGCGAAAAGGATGCAATTACAACACGTATTTTATTTGCATATGCTTTAAAACATGTATTTTTAAACTATCGCCGGATACGTCCATTTCGCTGGCATTATTGTAGTGTGCTCCTCGTCTGCGTTTATCCTACCACTTAATCAATTACAGCTTACAAGGCCCAGCTTCCCGCTATAGGTTTACCGACCCACATGTCCTGCGTCATCATAATAATGATGACGTCATCCCTGGCGACCTTGTTGAGGGCTTGGGCAGCCAGCATATGTGATGATCTCTTTTCTGTGTTTACACATGTTTTATGCAGTTAAACAGTGTGTCACGGTCACCAACTAATTCTGCCATATATACTGAACAGATCGTACAGTACATAATATATGTGTACACCGACATAATATTGAGTTTTGATAACAGTAAGCAAGTACTCACGATAGAAAGGATTGTCATTCCGATTCACTTCGATTACCTTCAACTCAGTTTGTCCTTAGTTTAGTTAGGTAGAGAATCATAGTGACGAATTGTGCAAAATGTAGAAACCTACTAACACTTGGAGGAAATGTCGTTGTTTTGTTGTAACTAATTCACTTTTTACCGACTTAGGAAGTAGTTCTCTCCCCATTAACCTATTGACTATTGGCTGTGGTGGTTAATAGGTAGGATTTAAAAATATTACGTCGTGAGCATTTTTTACTTTGTCGTCTAGACATTTATCATTTATGCAGACCATTTAACGTCGGACATACGGTAGAGAGGCGTATAGACGCGGTCGAAAGGTTAAATTGACTTCTTTACCTCACTAGTAATGTGACAATCAAATCTTTGTCCGATGGAAACTCTTTGGAAACTTAGAAACTGAATACGAGGATCTCGAATTGCGACTTCATCACTTTTACTGGGAGCACTATAGTAATTAAACCACGAATTATGTTTCTCTATGGCCAATGATTCGTAAACCCACCTGAGTATCACAATCGCACAACTGAAAGTTCACACTTTACAAGCACTTCACTGACTGGTAGCAGTTCGCACAGCGGCGGTGCGGCCACGCCACTCGGACCTGTGATCGGAGTGAGGCGTTGCGCGCGCGCCGCTTGCGCTCGAGTGGGAGGCGATACTCGCTTATCCTGCAACAGTATGCTGACCAAAAGCAATTACTGACCATACAGATCGTACTTATGTACGTAAACGTTTTTAATTGCTCATATTACATTCGCGGGTCACGTTCGCTTCGTCTTCGAATTGATGATTTGTGTTTATCTAAGCATTAAACTGTCAAGCACCAAGCGGTCACCGGTGACCGCAACCTATTGTTCTATAATTGTGTCTACAAAACCGGTACTCGACGAGTTAAATAATATTATAACACTGGTAATAATGAAAGTATTCTCCAGATTTGTGTATAACGTTTCAAGGTTCGAAATATGTTAATTTTAAGAAGTTTTGTCATAACATGATATATGAGCCATTGTGTTGTACCATTTCACTTCCGTAGAAATCAAAATAAACTCTGTACACACAACCATAAGATTGGCTTATGGTTGTGAGATTCATTTGTGACCATCACAGGTGTTACAGTTTGGAGCCTATACCTACCCATGGCTTTAACCCGTAATGTTCACAAGTGAAAAGGCAACCATCATATTATAGGTATCTAATTCGTTTTTGCGGCTTTTGTATTTTTTTCTGTGGGCGGAGCGGATCGCGATAATTTGTAGGCGTTACTCTTTACCTGTGGTCGCGTCACAAGGTTGTATTACTCACTGTCTTGTATCGAAGCCATTTATGTAAAGTGTAAAAAAGCAAGCCTTTAGAGTGGAACGTTCCACAGACTACAAGAGCGATTTTATTGCATATCCTATTTATTTACTTATTAGCTACTTCTGCACGGTTGCAAACGCTCTGCTCGGCTCCTATTGATCGTAGCGTGATGTTTTGTAGCCTATATCCTTCCCCGGTAAACGGGCTATCCAAAACAAAAAAATAATTATTGAAATCGGATTGGTAGTTCTGGAGATTAGCACGTTCAAACAAACAAATAAACTCTTCTGCTTTGTATAGTAGTATAAGTATAAGATTACTCAGAGTCTAGGCTTAGGCCAGTATATATTTATGTGCATGAGGTACCACGGAGTATGCGAGACTCTGCATCTCCATTCTCCAAAAATCTACTCAATGTTTGAGATATTTGTTTGCAGCTCACACATGTCACAAGACATTTTGTGGTCGATGTTATTATACACTAAGGACTATCGAATCGGTATTCCGTAGTATCTATCTCTAATAGTTGGCCCTATTCGATTCCTAGTAGGAAAACAAACCTAAGTTTCTACTGACTTCTTTAGAGGATGCGAGGAGAGGATTCACTAATTGCTATTCTTCTTTTCAGGTCTCCAACTGCGCCACAAGATATTATAAATGAAATCTGTTCACATCTTCACACGCTGATATTCGAGACGGTGCCGACACCTATCAGTGCGGGTCGCGACGTGTGCCTGGCGAATGCTATGTACCTGTACTTCATACTGGCGACCCGGTACCACGTCACAGACCTAACCAGCCTGGTGCATAGAGCTTTACAGCATAAGTCCTACGAAGTCATACTCACGGTGCTAAACTACCTTCTCATACTTCATAAACAATTAGAACCGGACAACAACATGTTCCACGAACATCTCGTGTCAATAGCAGACCCATCCACTCTAAAAGAAATTAAGAATAAGCAATACATCCAACTTCTGTGTGATGTTCTGAAGAGTCACTACATGGAGTGTCGAGAGAAAAGTTTGAAGATCTTAGTACTTGAGGGGAACACACAGCGCGACATCATAGAGACTAAAACAGGGGTTACTGTGACTGATGATATGGTTATAGAGAAGTTGATTGACTGCATACAGACGGAATATGAAACCCTGACTCACACATACTTGCAAAGTCTGGTAAACTTTGTATCGGAGAGAATACAGGAGGGGAGTATACATAGTCGAGTGGTGTTGAATGTTGTACGCACTGTGTACGAGTGTAGCTCCGCGGAGAACTGTGAGAGCACTAGGAAGGTAGCCGTCAGCTTCATAGAGAGGAACTACATGCTGTTCAAGTTGGATACTAGTCAACTGACTGCCGCTGAACAATGTAAGTGATACGATTTACTATCTTAACTATTTAAAACTTTTGTTCATAATAATTACTACCTAGCTTCTTTCAGTGGCTTTGCCCGCGGTCCTGGTGGATAAAAAGTAGCCTATGTGTTATGCCAGACCATAATAAATGTGGGAGAGCCATGCTTCGGCACGAATGGGCCGGCTCGACCGGAGTGATACCACGGCCTCACAGAAAACCGACGTGAAGCAACGCTTGCGTTGTGTTTCGTCGTGTGAGTGCGGTTACCGGAGGCCAAATTACCCTCCCCTTCTTCAATCTCCCCAATTCCTGAATCCCCAACGATCCTCAAACTCCTAATCCCCAAAAGGCCTGTAACGCACATGTAACGCCTCTGGTGTTCCAGTTCCAGGTGTCCATGGGCGACGCCGATTGCTTACGCTTACCATCAGGTGATCCGTCTGCTCGTTTACCGGCTTATGTCATAAAAAAATCTACCCCTCATACATATTTCGTCTCAATCCCTTCAGTCATGTGATTAAGTGACAAATATATACACTAACACAAATACATAACATTTAGCATGTATGATATTAGTAAGATACAACGATGACGAATTGTTTTCAGTTGAGCTACACGCGACGCTATGGGCGACTATAATAACGTTGCTGGAAGACGACGAGGAGGCCATCCGCCAGCGAGTGTCGCGCGCGGTGTGTCCGGGCGCGCGCGTGGCGCCGGCCCGCGCCGCGCGCTCCCTGCGGGCCGCCCTGCGCGCCGCCGGGGACGTCGCCCTGCTGGGCCTCGTGGCGCTGCTGGACTTCCAGTCCGTCGTCGTCATGGCGGACGACGTCAGCGATGAGGTTACTAGTCTTTTTAATATATAATCATTATTTATTCATATAGGTACCAACATCTAATCCGTAACAACACATTCCTAATCCCAAAAGGCCCGTAACGCGCTTGTAACGCCTCTGTAGTTCTAGGTGTCCATGGGTGACGCCGATTGCTTAACATCAGGTGATCCGTCTGCTAGTTTGCAAGCACGATGTTAATTATGTTGGGCTAATTGGATCTCATGTCAACTAGTGCCCACTTAGCATAACATTTAATTTATAATTTCTGTTCACAGTGTCGAGTTTTCGACCAGAACGAGAGGTACAATATATTCCTAGAAGAAAGTATATGGACAATAGCGTGCGCTGATATCATAGTAAATGAACATAAAGTAGATAATTCTAAGCTATTGGAGATCATAAACAGACCAGAATATGAAGGAACTTTCCAAAAACTATGCCAAGACAATGTAGAAATGTATAAGAAAATGGCTACAGGACATAAGATACCACGAAATGAAGCGCTCAACCCTAAAATACAATTGCTAGTTGATAAGTTAAGTTGATGTGGTACTTCGATACAATATTTGTATTGTATTAGAAAATTGTTAGATATTATTTATATCTTAAGAAAATGTAAATATTTACTATCAACATATCTATCTACATATATCATAGGAAGTAATTCATGGTGTAATTTTTTTTATTATTTCATATTACTTATATCATCAGCCGACAATGCCTACAGCTAAAGAGCGTACTAATCATGAACATGTATGTTAGTATGCCGTTACGTGGTAAGTGTTTTGTAAAAATTCGTTTAAGACAAATTATTCTTACCAGTAGATAGTCAATTACCGCAAAAATGTTATTTAAAATATTTTCATGATTTCTATACAGAACATTTTAAATGTGACAAAAAGTTAATAAAACATAATGTTATTGAGAATTTATTGTTTGAATCATTAAATATTATTACAGAAGATACTCATGGAATATAGAGCTAAGACTGGAATACAGATTTTAGTCTTACTTTTTAATAATAGTGTATTTCAGTGTTGACAGCTCACAAAACATTGTTGACTTTGAATGTTGCAATAAAAACACAGGAATATAGGGTAAGGCAGTCTCCTTGAGTATGTATAATATCTATGATACACTATGAACAAAGTACAATATATCTCACACAATTTTGTCTCTCCGTATTCGGAACACTTCGCTAGCTAATGCACTATTTTTAAATTTCAATTTCTGTGGCTTTTTCTCTTTCACAAAACTATCTTTCATCTCTTTCACACTTTTTTCTACTTCCTGGGTAGTCTTAGGTATTAATCTTTCAACTTTACTCTTCACACTGTCTTCTGGAATTTTATCGTCTGTATCGTTAAATAAATCTTTTACTGAGACTAGTCTATGAGAGTTTCCGACACGGAGTAATTTCTTCAGTCCTCGCGTAGTTTTCTTCTCCACAAGGCCGAGCAGACCCCAGTCGTCTCCCTTCTGCTTGTCCATGCCGGCCTCGAGCTGCCACGCGGCATTCCTCACTTCAGCTTTGAGTCGTTCACATTCTTCGAAGCTGACATTTCTACTAACATTGAGCGCCTGCTCTAGCGGGTTCACGATATATAAAGGCAAGGAGTTCGGTTTCCTGACAGAAATGCCTTCGTTGATAGATATCGCTTTATCTTGGAAATCGAACTGAGAATAGAACTCGAAGAACTGCAGCAGTAACGTCTGCAGGTTGACCTTGTTCTGTGCGTAGCACTCCGGCGGCAACTTGTTCATGTCGCGCAGGAATGTGCAGTTGAGATTCTCTTCTGCTATTCGAATGTCTTCTTTACCTGTAATTAGAAATAAAATAATCATATAAACATCTATACTCTGTATGTACTGTAGGCACCTACTGAAAAGCTTTCCTTTTCAATTTAAATAACCAGGATAATTACAATATAACATACATACTAACTACTAACACAAATAGGCACTAACCAGCTCTCCTCACAAGATTTTTCAAAGTTGGCAGCACATGTCCGTCGTTAGTTTTCTGCTGTAGAAAGAATAGCACCATCAATGTCAGAGGGAAGTTGGTGATCCATCGTCCTGGGTGTGGGTTTGTGAGACCCACGGCACGCGCCCAGCGACGCACCGCGAATGTCAATGGCCGCACTCTGTCGTCCAGGGAACCGAACAACCACAGCAACTCTGACATGTATACCCCTGACCTGTAAAATAGGAAGAACAGACTTAATAATGTGCTTAATAATGTGCTTTATAAATAATTTCGTTTTAAGTCAACACTTAGAATTAATACAAAATGAAATTGGGTAACACAAGACACGTTTTGTATTGCTGAATGCGGGAATTGGAATGAATGCCATCATTTTAGCGGCACCTAGTATGAGGCAAGTATTTTAAATGATGTGAATGAATAGATAGATTGATTTATTTGGCTTGAAATATGGCACTGACATGTTGTTGTAGCAGAGATCGCACTCGAGGTCGGTGTAGTGGTGCGCGAACTTGACGATGGGCACGCGCGCGTTGAGTATGCGCTGCACGCGCGCCGCGCCGGCCGCGCGCAGCTCCAGCAGCTCGCCCAGCGCCTGCATGTGTCGCGCCCAGGGCGCGCGCCCGCCCTCCACGCGCGCCGTCTGCGCCACCAGCCGGGCCCCCGCCCTCGTCTGCACACCGCGCCAGTACCACTCATTACTTCACTACAGGATTCATTCAAGAAATATCACAAGAGGAAAATTTAAATGGGAATCATCTTCACCTGGAAGATGTCAGGGAAATTCTTCTTCTGTTTGTCTTTTTAATAAAAATGTTGCCCTCACACTACGATTTTCTCCTCTATCATGGGTGTGTATAAAAACATACAAATTCAAAAACACATCATACCCAGACCCAGAACAACATTTTCAAAGACCAGTCAGTTGCCTAGCTACTGCACCAACCAAATTATTGAAATTTACTTCATACTTCTGATCTGTGGTTTGTTATCTGTTAAAATTAATAAAGTTTTGCCTCATGAGTCATGGTGGCGCAGAGGTTTAAGTCCCCCGCTTCTAGTGCATGAGGGTGCGGGTTTGAAACAGCGAATATCAATGCTACTTTTTCCGAGTTGTATGTACTTTCGCTTCGTAGGAACAGATACATGATGCCATTAGAATATTTTGTGATCTTTCGATGGCATTTGACTGTGTTGAGCTTGAGACATTATTGCTGAAACTGGAACACTATGGTATTCGAGGAGTATCGCTAAATCTATTAACATCATACCTTCACAATAGGTAACTCAAAGTACAAATAAACAAAGTAAACTCACAGGGTGCTAGTATATCTATGGGTGTAACCCAGGGCTTGCTACTAGGCCCATTCTTATTTTTAATATATGCACAAATAAACCGCAGATGGTATTATTTGCTGACACTTTCGATGGTTTTTACATTAAAAGACGGACAAATAATTATGACAACGTAAAGAATGCCCAAATAAAGGTTCAAAATTGGTTTACAATAAATAACTTAGTACTAAACTATAAAAAGACAAAATGTATTAGATTTGTTTTGCCAAACGTTAAAAGCAGCGAATGTGACATATTATTGAATGGTGAGAAATAACAATTTGTAAAAGGAACTACTTTCCTAATACTGTATTGAGACTAATTACTGTAGACGACAAATTGCAATGAGGTCCTCATATTACATCGTTGGCGAGACGATTGCTCTGCAGCTTATACTGTTTGGACGATCCGACAGTTGACCGAGATAGGCACGTCAAGACTAGTGTACTTCAGTTACTTTCATAGCATTATGTCGTATGGCATTCTGTTGTGGAGACACGCTGCTAACATTGAGCCTATCTTTATCTTACAAAAGCGCGCCGTCAGAGCTATCTACAACCTAGGTCGTCGCGAATCTCTCAGAGAAAGGTTTAAGGAGATCAGCATTACGATAACGTCATGTATGTTAGGAAAAACCTACAGCCATTTGGTAAAGTTTCGGACAGACACCACTATCAAACTAGACATGAGAATAGATGAAGTCAGCCAATTTTTTGAATGGCGAAAGTAAATAAGTTGTTCATGGGATTCTGTATTAAATGTTATAAAAAGATACCAAGCGGTATACAACAACCTAAATGAAACGAAATTTAAATAATGTTAAATAGAACTATATGTAAACACAAGCATATTACAAAATATAATAGATAAAAATGCTTGGATGCAGGCTGGTCCAGCTCCACAGGATGACAAAAAACATTGATGTTTCAATGAAATCTAAACATGTAAATATTACAGCCTTGTTGCTAAAACGTATATTGTTTAACTTGCATTCATTGTAAATGTGAGAGCCCTGTAATTAACTTAATATTAAATTAGACTAGTAGAATGCATTTGTGTCAGCTTGGAGTTGTCATGCTCATTTAAAGATCTCATTGGCGGTGGCACGTGCAGTGGATCGCTCGATTCCCGACAATATGGTTGAGTTGGACAAATAGCTTCACTTTCAATTTTTTTTTTGTTGACGTTCAAGTGCATTTCTGTTCTAATTGAAATAAATGTTTTTGACTTTGAAACAGTGAAGGAAAACATCATGACAAAACCTATAAGTTTGAAAGTGCCAACCCACATTGAGAAGGCATGGCGATTAATGCTCAAACCTTCTCCATGTGAGAAGAGGCCTTTGGTCGGCAGTACCTACTTATAGATGTGGTGTTAATGTTGTTGTTGTTTGCCTCATGTAATTAAAAATTATTTACAAAACTGAATAATAAAATTATGAAATCAATAATAAAATGTTCAAGGAGTGCTTACCATTTCATCAGTTAGTGTATTGGTCAAAACAAGGTCCAAATCACATCCCATTTTTCCAAAACCGTTGATGGATGAGCCAAATGGTCTCACTGCTACATTTGCATAGAGGCTTTCCAGCATACATTCAATCTAAAACATGATTTTATTTATTTTTTATTTATTTATTTATAATTCATGGAGGACTTACAACTTATAAAAATGGATAAAAATAACAATAGGCGTAGGTAACAATGAGCCAATTACAAGTCCTCACGTTTAGCATTTGGAATAAATTAATTAATATGGTGCGAGTACTATACAATATTAAAAATACATACATTCTGCGTAAATGAAAAAGTTTCAAATTGAAACAGACCATATATAATATAATTATAAACAGATCAAGAGAAACGATAAAAAAAACTAAAGATCTAGTGCTGCTTAAAAAATTTGAGACTTAAGCACCTCTTTGCAGAGTTCACACTAGTTGTAAACGGATCAAAGTCATATTCCTTACAAACATTGTTAAAGTGTCTGCTTGCACGCATAATGTAACTGTTCTGCCTATAGTTAGATGAGGAACAGGATATGTGTAAAGGTGGATTAAATCTAAATATTTTATTAGGTACATTAACTTTGATTTTTGATAATAGTTCTGGACTATCCACATTGCCGTTAAGAACCTTAAACAAGAATAGACAATCTGCAATGTTGCGTCTATCTACCAATGGTAATAGATGAAATTTTGATGAACAAGATAGAATGATTTATTTTATGTTTTTATATTTGATGGTTGTTGTTTGTACCACTGTCTTGCCTGGTGGGAAGCGATGACATGGCCCATGATGGAGCATGTCTATCCATAAGCAACTTATACACTCAGGCCTTGAAGACAGAATAATACAGAATAACAATAGTTAAAATGGTAATTTACCTGCCTAGCCACCATATACCTCAGCCGGACCCCCAAATCATTTAGCCTAGTTCTATCATACAACAACTGTATTTGATCTGATACAGTTTCACAATCCACTAGCTCCTTGAACAGTTTGTCCTCATTCACTTGTTCAATTCCATTTATAGATGCCAGCACTGTGGTGGGGGTTGCATAGTTTTCAGTTTTCCCATTAGCTGTACGAAACCATAGGAACGGAGAGTTAACGGCCATTGTGTCCAGATCTTTCTGGTGTGTACTGCATGACCGTAATACATCCTGTAGGCTTTCTTCCGACCCAAATTCAATAAGCATGAAGTGCTAAAAATAACAAATACTTGAAATAGACAATAACTTTGTGTTAAAAGATTAATTCATAATTTAACAAGATCGCAAAAATACCTCGTCGTTATTATTTTTGTAATGATGCACATCTTTGATGGTAGCATACTTTGAGCAGTAACCGTATAGTTCCTTGAACGAAGCCTGCGAATTGACTTGTACTACGATACTCCGCTTAGCTTCACTTCTCCTCTGAGCCACAATTTCATCAAATGACACAAATTTCTTTTCACTGCCTAGAACAAATACATAACCTCTAAGTTACCTTCATAACAACTACTAATTAAAATGGTCAGCAACCAGTTACCTGAATATTTACGAAAAAAGACACATCTACATGTAGATTGGGTAGAGTTTAATAATTTCTTAAATAAATTTTTCCTTCCTTTATTTATAAAACTTCGAAATAATACAGACATTTTTAACTTAGGCCGCCGTCCACCATCTGTCAAAATTTTCAAATGTCAATATGTTATATGTCATCCACTACTTGAACACTTCAGAATTGGATACGAGGATTTTCGTAAAAAGGAGCTATTCAACAGTAGCAACTCATCTAAAAAAAGATTTTGTTGGTTTCCCACTTTGTTTCTATTTTTATAGGATTTTAAGATAATTTTTATATGCTTTTACTTACAATAACGTAGCTAAGAAAATTCTTTTCATTAGGCTATCATTATCAGCTGTCTTCATAGCTGTTAGCTGTCTTCTCTTCTGCCAATAAAATAATGTCATTGTCAGTCAGTTGTATCAAAAAAGTTGAGGTTATCTTTATATTGTTTGTAGTGTGCACTTTATTTATAGTTTCTGTCGTTCTTGCTTTTAAACGAAATAAGCAAACAACTTACCTACTAAGTATAAATGAACAATGGGTACTAGGATACTACAAAGAATAATTATTCCTGCAGTGAACTGCTTAAGAACCAATCATCATAATGTTTTAAGTCATAACGAAAGAGCAATTTACGCAAATGTGGCAAATTTTACAGTAGTAAGAAATTATGCTAAGAGCAAAGATAAAGGGAAAGACAAGAAGGGTAAAGGAGGTAAAGTAGAGGTTAACGTTGCGGCAATATCCGAGGTTGTGCCTGTGGATAAGATGAAAGAAAGGTGCAATGCAGCTATCGAGAGAATGAAGGCAGATTTTGCCAAGAATTTATCTTTGCGTTCTACCACAGGCTCTATGGAATCATTGAGAGTAAAATTTGAAGGCAAAGATTATGAATTACAGGAACTTGCTCAAATTGTCCGCAAAAATCCTAAAACTATAGTAATCAACTTTGCTTCCTTTCCTCAAGCTATACCAAATGCATTAAAGGCCTTACAAAGCTCTGGCCTCAATTTGAATCCTCAGCAAGATGGCACCACATTGTATGTTCCAGTACCTAAAGTCACAAAAGAACACCGAGAGGCACTGGCAAAGAATGCCAAGGCGCTGTACATAAAATGTAGAGATTCAGTAAAGGATGTTCAAGCAGACTTTATTAAAAAGGTTAAAAAACAAAGCAGTGTATCTGAAGATGTAGCATTTAATGTATCTAAGCAAATCAATGCAATTTGTGAAGAATATCAGAATGAAGCTAAGCACATTTATGATGTGAAACATAATGAGTTAGTAGGAAATTAGAAAAACATACTCCAACAAGGAACTCCAATTAAAATGAGTCTTGTTAGCATTTAAATCTAATGGTTGTTAGTAATGATTTGAAAATAAATAAACTAGATATAATTTGTGTTTTATTTACAACTATACTGACATGGGGGAGGTGTTTTCATTATTATTTTGTTTAAGGGGGGGGGGGGGGCTTTGTCCTGCATGGGACGTCTTTCGGCTGTTGAAAATGACGATTATGCTGACATGAGTAAAAGCAACAGAAACGGAGGGTCCTATGATGACATATTCCAAAATATCAATAAATTATTATAAACTAGCGACCCGCCCCGGCTTCGCACGGGTGCAATATGCATGTATTATACATACAAACCTTCCTTAAGAATCACTCTATCTATTAAAAAAACCGCATCAAAATCCGTTGCGTAGTTTTAAAGATCTAAGCGTATGCTTACACGGACATACAGCGAAAGCGACTTTGTTTTATACTATGTATTGATATTTTACACAATAAACACACACGTATAACATTCATTTCGTAACAGCTCTACTTACTCAGAATTAATTGAAAAATATTTTGATGGGAAATAAAAACATTGATTTATTTTCTTGAAAAAATCAAAAGCACCTCTGATTCCCCTATACTCTTTGACCTCTGATAATAGTTCTCAATAACAAATGACAGTGATGATCACCGAATCATATCAGTGCCGAAATATTGAAGATCAATCATTTGCAGTTTAATTTCAGAAATATAAACAGTGTTGAAAATACTAGTATTCCACTACGGATTTTCGTCTGACATATACATTTAAAAGATTAAAACGTCATTTAAAAAACAACTGTCAAACTTGTTTGCAAAACAACAAGATTACTATAAGTCCCGGTATAATTTTAAAAATAATGGATTCTGTTCTCAGAAATCGCAAAAAAAGATATGAAAGAGTGATGTCTCGCGTTCATAGTCAGTCACAATCTAGTGTAAGATTAAGTTCAACTGTGACACGCCATGATATACCGTCATCTGTAAGAGTTGGCGCGAAAACAACTGGATCTAATGTGAGCTCAGGAATCTTTAATGAACTTCCAACTTACTTGGACGATTATGAACCAGAATCAAGTCGTCAGAAAATTAAACGTACATATGTGGTGAAGCCTCGTAAAACTATCACGTCAATGAACCTGGCAGACTGCCCGCCTCGTGTGGCCTCTAACATCTCTAAGGCGAGGGAATCAAGCAAAAAGTCTTCGACTTTCCGGGTCCAGGAATCTGCTCCTTCCGTTTTAGAAAGCAATGAAGAAAAGTGGTCTAATACACATTTGAGAGAGTGTTTCTCCAGCAGATCCCACACGCAATTGAAAGATTTAAAGGTAGTTGTTAAGTTGTTAAATATTTCTTCTTATATTATTATTTTTATTAAAGTAGATAACAAAATAATGTTGATGTGTATCTACATTTAATGTTTATGTACCTAATTGATTGAGTTGAGATGAGATTACAAGTTCAACTCCAAAGCACATAGCTATAACATTGGCAGCTAGAATGTTTCTTTAAATTTTAAAAAATGATCTCAATAGTTATCACAGTTTGTTTTTATTCCAGGATGAAATAAAAGCTTTCAAAGAGACTGAGAAGTTGATGAGACTGCGAAGTAGTTTGTTTAAGAAGTGCGGTGTAGTGTTGGACGATCTAGGGAATATGGTGGAGGACAAGGCTGTGCAGGCCCAACTTGAACCAGCTGCAGATGATGGTCAGTCACCTAATATTCTCTTAACCCGTTGAAATTCATCCCCTAAATTTGTTCATACAAAAGTAGTCTCTAAACAATAGAAATAAGGTCTATAATGTAGAGAGTGGAGAGCGGTCAGCAGTGACCATTTGGGGATGTCTGGGTTAAGAAATGTATGGCAACATATAATAATAATCCTTTCTCCTGCCGACCTTTTCTTGACTAGTGGCATCTATCATCGGCTGATTGTATGGTATATAGGCCCTTGAACTGCATAGTAATAGACTCACCCCCTGTTACGAGGGACTCGTAATATAATTAGGTAGTAAGGTAATGGTTGCTTTTTACAACGCAAATTAATATGACAAAGGCCATATTGCTGCCATCATTCACTGTATTTCTTCATCTTACAAAACAGTTATTATATTGGTTGTGCATACATTAGAATGATGCGTTAATTTTAAAATTAGTAAGTAGGTAATGGTTTGAAGTATGTGTATAATAATATGTCCTTCTCCCTTAGTAGCACATGGTGTTTTGTTTTTAAGAATTTAATAAATAGATAACTTAACTGACTAGGCTGATGTTCCTAAAATTAGGAGGAATATAAAAAGGTCAATGCTTTTTCTGTAAATGGGACACAATGAGGAAATCCCCAAAAGGGTCATGCACCAGTAACACTGTCAACATTAAACTGTGGTCTTTGCTTAGAAGCTAGTTACTACATGCGCTATGTTCAAATGCTTTAGGCATTCTCTCTCATAGTTTTTTCCAATATCCATTTTGATTTTTGGATTATTTTTCTTTAAATTTGTTAAATTATATTTTGAAGTGTACTTAGCCCTTTGAATTTCTATTTCTATTATTTTTTATTTGATCTTCAATAGAATAATTACCTTACCTTCTTCCACTACATACCCTTCTTCTACCCCTGCTTGAATAGTAGTTCGAAAAAATCGACAGCAGCGCCATCTACCAGAGTTAATCGTAAATACAAATCTAGGTACTCTTAAAACAATAAGTAATTGAATCCATCTACGGAATGATAATGAATTTCTGTAAATAGGCCACAATGAGGAAATGCCGAAAAGGGTCATGTAGTTACCAGCACCGCCATCTACATTAAACTGTTGTGTTGCTAGTTCCTATACTTATGACTAGATGGCGCTCTGTACAGAAAGTAAGTGTTCAGTAACTTGTACTTAATGATAAAACACATACATTTTGTAATTGTGCGAAAGATTGGCCATATAGGAGCAAATAATTTCATCGATATTTGTACAAAATACTAATATTGATTTTTTTTAAGACATCAAGCAAGTATTGCAACATTTCACACTTTGTATAACAAGCCGAAATAGCTCAGTTGGGAGAGCGTTAGACTGAAGATCTAAAGGTCCCTGGTTCGATCCCGGGTTTCGGCAATTATTTTTGCTAAAAAATATTTTTACGTTTATTTTTTTGTTGCAGACACTGGACAGGAGGAGAATAGGTAAGTCAAAATAAGTTATTTCGATAAATAATCAAGTTATTTATTGCCCTCTTGGTGCTTCACTTCACTAACCTTTCTTCTTGTTTTACCTACTTTGGATAAGTAACACACAAAATGAACCCCTTTTTATTCAACTGAGTTGAAGCAAAAAAGAGGGTTGGTAAATGATATTATTCCTTGATTTCAACCATATGATTTCCAACTAACTTTAACGTTATGTGTAATCATCGGTACGTGTACAATTGAATGCGCACTGTATTTAGATTGTTTACTTTACTCGTATTTAGCGTTAAAGTTTTATATTTCCAAGAAAAAAAATCAATAAACTTTGCTTCAAAGCATCGCGTAACAGGGTCTGGAATTTCGCAATCTTCCGCATCGCCTCTTTAGCTCAGTGGTAGAGCACTGGTCTCGTAAACCAGGGGTCGTGAGTTCAATCCTCACAGGAGGCATCGAACTAAATGCTCTTTTTGTATTTTTATCATCATTTGTCACAACATTTTGATAACTTTTACTTATTTTGATAAATTGATTATTCCTAGTTCCGTTGCGATTGTTCTTAATTAATGTATATTTACTTACATCAGATAGTTTATTATAAAAAATGATAATAAGGAATATGAGATTGGAAAAAAAATATTACGAAGGTAACATTAAAGTGCCAGAGATTACTAAACGCATAATAAAAGAAAATGGCGATCGATATCAAAGACAATCTATCCTTGGACTATGATTTATTTAAGTTGTAGTTTTTTTTAAAGAAATCGATGAATATATTTTTCATCATCTTCATCACACATCATCCAACTTACCCTGTACCTTTTAAATGTGTCTGATATAAGAACTCTATTAAATGTCAAAATATCATTCATCGATATTCCTTTGTTTACCTGTCTAAACTTTGAAAGCCCTTATCCATAGGTACTTAAATTATGTGAAAACTATAGGTCTTTACCGATTTTTTATCAACTTCGCGTCTCCGCTACATGCAGTCACTCTATCTATACTATACAGGTGCCCAGCGACACACATCTGATAGAAACTAAATAAATAACTTTTATAAATTGCGGTTATACCGACTTTAATTCCCTCTTTTTTTGCCGTTGGTTTATTAGGTAATATACTAAAACAAACCAACATAATTATGCAGGTTAAACAGAGGAACTCCTTTTTTTGAAAACTCAAAAAAAAAAAACATGTTACCACAACCTACTTAAGTTATATTTAGCTTGAACCCAATCGCTCTATTAACAGTATTGTTTAACTAAGTTATTTAAGATAACCTTCACAATCAACTGGAGGAAATGTACTCCATTCGTAAAAATGTGTGCAAAGCCTTCGTGTACGCACCCAAGTACATTTACAATGGTAATGATGGCGAGTGGCTGGAGTCGAGGAGAATATCAATAAACGCTTTGCAACGCGTTCACGTAGCTAGCTGGTAGCTGGTCGATAGCTCGCCCCCTGCCCTGACAATTAATGCAGGCTACTGCGTCCCCTCCCTGGTTACGACAGTTTTGCTTTGTATTACTAGCGTTCCTGAAGTCATTTCTTCTGTAGGTTTTAAGACGTAAGAGGACGAGTACTAAACATTCTGGAATGAATTCTGGCTGAAGAGTATTATTTTCTAAATCATTTTATGCTTAGCATACCCACGGTTCATGAGTGGAATGTTGCAAACACCGACTGAGGTTACAGAATAAATTTTTAACATATTCTGCAAATCCAAAATCACACAGTTTGTGATCATGGTTCATCTCAACCAGGACTTTTGGTACAATTTAACAAGCCTTGATTATAATTTATACACAAGGTACTCTACAAACATATGTTTAAATAAATGTTGTGCATTTGGTTGGCAGAACTCAGAATACAGTGTGTTATGGGGTAGGTGGTGGTATTGTGCTGGCAATTTTCTTTATCAACAATTACGAAATGAAATTCCTAGGAGAAATTATGTTCGCTAATGCAATAAAAATTTAAAAAATATTATAATTATGAAGTACTGCCGATCATATGATGGTGAATATTCGCCACCACCGTGTCTAATCTGTGAAGCAAAGAAAATGACCGTAGATAATTTGCGAGGAAGTTAAAATCACATTTCACCAACATCACGTTGCGATGATGCAATGTGCGATATCGTTGGAATGCAATTAAACGTGGCGATGTGACGAATGCCTTATCGCGCGGCCTTGACAATGACATTGCACGAGCAGAGGCAAAGCAAGCGTTCCGCCGCCGGTAACTCACTGTAGCCACTTACCTAATCATCTATTGTATGTGACCACTTCAAGGCACATAACACATTTTTATGGAAATACATCGAATGCTATTCTGCTGTTTATTCCGATAATATATCAAGACAAGACCACCATATCAGTTGCTTTCAGAAGATACACAGAAAATTATTGATAAAAGAAATTCAGTATTTAAATTATGGATAATTGTGGTTGTGTTGGAGTTAGCGTGAGGCTATGAGTAGCTCTGCTATAATATGGTTTCTTTCTTACCTATATGAATCTCAAAAGTTACAGGCTGATGATAGATTTGAGAAAGACCAAGACTGGCTGACATATTTTGTCACTAGATTGACCAAAGGAGGCTTTCTAATACTTTACTTGCACGTCAACCTCACACGAATTGGGATGCTAATAAAACTCATACGAGCCTAAAAGCTGATATGAAACTTCATAATATCTCGTCATCAGTCAGACATTAACAGATAACGTAGTATTATCAGATCAATTAATATTACTATCTATTGGCCTTTTTACGTGGATACTCAGATACTGACACAGGTAGGCGTTGTACTATTTTCCTTTGTCCATCGTCCTCGGCGCGGCTGTTTCCTTTATTAATTTGCGAAAAGTGTGGCGCTCCACGAACACAATTCGAACACTGATCACGTCGTGTGCTACCTGTTTAGGTATACTTTTATCGGCAATACTGTTTTTGTCCCGCACAATAGTGCGTTCTTTGTCTTTGCCAAGGTTAAACATGACTCATTACCACACAGTACCTACTTTTATAATAACCACGACTAAGTATGAATTTGCGTACATAAACAACATAATAGGCTATTAGTGCATTGTGTTCTGCGCTGGAAAAGTTATGCATTTACAGGGAAATCACTGAACATTACTTCTTTCTGGTTTGTTCGTCGATGTTTTGAATATTGTGGAGCTAGTTTAACACGTGAAATGCCCGAATGTAGATCTATTCGAGAGGTTAAGTAAGCCTTTTAGTCTTGCCTTTCGGTTTGCCTTTTTGAAAGTCATTGTAACTGTGTCCCTGATATGGCGATATTTTATTGCAAACATCTGCTGCTTCAAAAACATTGATTCCTTTGTTTCAAGTTGTACCTAAGTACAGATATTGGTACATGCGTATGTTGGTGTGTGTGTACTAATACTTAGAAACATTGTACGCAGGACATGTTTCAAGGTAAACTGTTATCTTCGTACGTACCTACCAGTAATGGTTAGTATGCTGTGACTGCTCGCAAGCGTTATGTATTTTTGTTACTAAAACTGTTTGTATGTATTGCATATTGAAAAATCAGGCCACTCGATATCCGAAAGTCCACTGAATTCATTGAAATTAACATTTAAAATAACTTCTTCAACTAACTTGAAGTTCTGAAAGCAGTACCATCTTGAACTCAAACTTCGAATGTTCTTTATTTGTTGATTTGCAAACTAAATAGACACGCATAATCAGCTTTGTACGGGTGCTCAAATATTCTGTTCGGGATTCAAACCCTGTTTACAGCACAGCAGCCTTTTAAATCTTCTCAGCGTATAGTAGACCGTTACTCACTGGCAGGCGTTTAGCATGCGTTGCGTAATAATTACTCGTACCATGCTGTTATGTAATATCCTCGCTCCATAACTTCTCCACCAAGTTTGACCGACCATTTAGATTGAATTAAGTTTACGGAACAAATTCATTGCATTAATGTTAAGTCTAGATTACCTAACTACTGGTATTGGAATTCAGTACAAACATACTTATATGGTTCACGGCCTTAGTTTAAAAAAAATGCCTACTACTTAAACCTTCAAATCAGACTTCGAAACTGGATGGATCTTGGTATTGGTAATAGATGTCTGTCGACAGACATGCAGGTGACTCCCCTTACTGAGAATTTGGTATGAAATGTTTGTTTAAGCAATCATTTTTGACCAAGGTGTAAGACTGGGAAAGTACACACAAAAACTATTAATCAATCAACCAACAAACTTCTCAGCCGATCAGAAGATGCGGATAGATTTAAGAAGATAATAGCACATATAACACTGAACATTCATTCTGAGAGCAATTGGACCTAACTTATGCATATGGAAAATGCCAAGAAGTGAGTTTCTTCTATGTTTCCAATGAAGATATATTTTTTTTCTTTCTTTAAAATACGTTGCCCCACCGTTTTCAGTTGCCCAGCCACCGCGCCCACCGTGCAGTGCAAAATAATTTAAAAATCAAATACTTACTAGTTCTGTTGTGTATCACTGGCTGGCTTACCACTTATTTTGTGTCCACATCAAGCAAAGGTCGATTGGTCGGAAAGCTAACGGTTTCTGTCGGCACGTTCACTATTTCCTAATTCGAGATACCTTTAATACAAATAAAAAGTAAAACCTGCTTTATCTCCCACGTGTACGTGGATAAAACATGCATTCACACAACCGTGTCGGTCTGACCCGGTTTCATTGAACCACGAGTGTTTGGAGCGTTGAGAACATTCTCAGCGCGTGGCATTTAGTGGGGAGCATAATTGGGGCCCCTTCACGTCACTCAAGTGGGCTAAGGCCGGCCATCGAACCGGTGATACTTGTCTTTACACAAAATACGTAAGACCCATATTCGTTCAGACCTCTAGACGTGTTCCGACGCAATAGTCCAATCGTATGGGTGTTTCATGTGTCTTCGTAGACTGGTTAGTCGCAGGATTGTAGATATTTTTAAGTGCGTGAAAGGAACTGAGTTACTGGCAAAAGAGAAAGGTATCCGTACACCAGCGGCTCCAAGTATGTGGCTAGCATGACGCCGGCTAGAGCCAGTTTCTGAATCAGGTTTATTTGTAACAAAACTTGAATACGCGCAGAGAATAACTCTGCCGATGAGAATTGACTTAGAATGCTTTATGTA